ACATTAAGCTGATCGAATTACTTCTAGTAACATGCCCAGAAAAATTGTTTATAGAACTTTCTGGGCATAATTTTTTGGAAATCGGCAATTGATATTGAGAAAAACTTTACAACTTTTCAATCAACAAAAAAAGTCACAATGGTCCATCGTTAAAATTGATCAAACAGATATCAGCAATTTAAAAATTTAGTGGCATGATTGATATGAAAAGTAGCAAAATAATTAAATGCAAAAATGTGTAGGCAGCTAATCCAAGATTTCACGTCTGAATTTCTCCGCATTAAAAGCATATAAAACAGCAACATCAAAATACCAAAAATAATTGCATTAAACATGCATATGAATACGTGTGCGTGGATTTATGCACCAGCCAACTTCATGCAAAAAGAAGGGAATAAAACAAAAACCATATCAAGAATGTGCAAAATCAAAGCCTCAATGTAGAGGTTGTAATAAAAGCTTCAGACATGCTACAATATTCTATGACAAAGGAACTTGTCACCTACTGTAGATGAACCGTGATACTACACTAGCAAAAAGGACATTCACTTTCATACTCATTTGTTAATCGGAAAGTGGAAAAATTAGACAGGAAGACTTCTTTATGACAATTCTTTACCCATTCATGCTTAGTTTCAGAGCATCAGGACAGGCCTCGATTATTATAAGGACACTTTCTAGTCTTCAATGATAAAATGCATATGTATTCAATTCAAATGCCTGCAAGTGATTAACTTACACACACCAAAAAAGGGGCAAAAATTGAAGGAGTTCCGTCAGCCACTCTACAGACAAGAAAACAAGGATGTATAGTGAATATGAGATGACACTTCTAAATCAACAGCTCACTTACATTAGTTTTGTAACTGCTCATTTGACATTGATTCTGTAAATCAAAGCCAGAAGTTTTTCCTGTAAGCAGAAAATTGCACGCATGAATAAAATAAATGGTCATCATGTCCATTAGAACTTTATATTACTAACGCAATAACTTAAAAAATATCAAGTTCGTCACCTTCTTGAGGTGTAATTGGCTTATTTGGATCAACTGACACCAGAAGCTCATCCCATTCAAGTGTATTTATCTCATGAAGTCTTTGTTCATGATTTTTCATAGTCGTACTGTCATTATTCTCTGGAAAATCATTAAGAAACAAGTATTTCAACATTAGCCATATTCGAGGCAGAAATCATGTCAAAGACTACAAGGTCCTGCTCATATGTTTTATTTGGCTTGAAAACTCTACCACACACCATCTTAGAAAATGGTTTTACAAATGGACCAAATATTTTCATTTGAATGGTAAAAGATGATATCATCCTCTATATTTTAATCTCACCTAACTGTGATCTGCTGTAATATGCCCGGTCAACCGTGGAATCAGATTCTTCTGATAAAGGTCGAGGAGCAGATGGGTCAGAGACAGCTGAAGAATTGGAATTCACAGGTGTGGCCGGAGAACCCTGCAACTGTATGATGAATTGAATGCAACCCAAGATGCATTCAGATATTTGCAAATGAGGTTTCATGCGATTGAAATATATAAAATGCTCAAAAACCAAGGCTCCTATCCATTTATCATGACCTTGAGGCAGTCACATACAACCTCTGGCCTTGAATCTATCAAAGAAACGAAAGAAATTCCCATACAGATAATCTCATTTGCTATGTTTGGCAAGTGTTGATAAGCCATTTAAAGACGATCATCAAAGGGGATCATACCAATTTTATCCACTAATATAAGACCCACAAGTACTACCCAATTATCCACCACTCATTTCTATCCGTTCATAAACAAAATCATTTATAAACACTTCCCAGACAAGCTATATAAGTATATGTCAGCCGAGGGTACATACATATGTATAAAAAAGGCATGAGGACCAAAGACAGCAAAAGGAAAGTCTAAAGAAAGAAAGTCACACATTGCGAACAACTATTAGAGAAGGGTGAGAAGTTGAAACATATAAGACTCTTTAGACAAATTTTATTTATGATGATACTTCATATTTAAGTAATCAGCAAGAAAAGTAAATGTGGAAAATGCAGGTGGCTTAGTATTGCCTTTTTACACTACATGACCATTCAACTTTAGAGCTAATGTCTAGTGAATTAATAGTTGAAACCACATGAATGAACTTCAATTAGCATACAAGTTCTTTCTGAACATGCATAAGAACGTCTAAGCTTTACAATAATTACCGAATTAATCATGTATTCTCCACAAATTCATTAATACAACCAGAATCGCATCATCAAAGCATAGAAGTGTGTCGCCTTTCCAAAAGCATTATTCTAGATATCGCATGGTAACATATATGAAAATTAGAAATACATAAAGAATTAATTAAATGTTGCTATTAGCAAAAAGCAAACCTCTTGAGTTTCACGGTAATGAACAAGGACAATATGTTCAAGTGACCTGCAACAATGACAACAATTAAAGTTTTATTTATTCAGTCTCCTCATGTTTGGTACTAGATCATAAAGGTATTTGCAACGGTTAAATCAATAAACAAAAAACATGAAGATCAGACCAAGACTTAAATTCTATAAGGTTTCATACTTGTCGAGTAGCCAGTAACATCTGCGAACAAAAGTCTGATTATCTTCTCCATGTGCATAGTATACATGAATCCTTTCATCGTTACCAACCTGTAGGACAACCAAAATTAATAATAACATGTTACTACAAATCCAGTTGATAAAATTTTCCAAAATCAACTGTGTGTGAAGTCAGCTTCGAGAAAAAAATATAGCACGAGTTACAAGTCTTAAACATGTAAGCCAGTAACCCCTTATATGAATATCTAGCAGAAACTACCGAAAAAAGACAGATGTTTAGAAATGAAATCTTGTTGGGATATTCCTAATCCATCCCAAGATGTGGAAACTAGGATGGAGATAGAGTGGGTAAAAAGCACCATGGTCCATACAAAGATGACAGCAAGTCCATAATGAAAATCATTTTGGCTTATTCCTAATCCATTTCTTAGAGCACTTCTACATTAGTCAGCAAAGGAGGAAAAGGAGGAAAGAGTTCTGATCAGAGAAAACCGGATTACAGCAAGTCCATGATGTGCAACTTCGTATAACATTACTAGTCTTTAACTAACTGCATGTGATTGCACAAACGAATAAATGAATGGCTCTATAGCTCCAGGTCATCACCCATAAAGTTAAGTTAAATCCAAGAACTGATTTCAATCGTCCTCTGATAATTCCCTTTCCTCCTGCCATCTTTTCATTGAAGTCATGATCCTCCATGTGATACAATTACTTCATTTTTATCACTCATCCAACATTCCAAGCTTACCATTTCCATTATTGTTGGGGTAAAAAGCACCATGGTCCCTGTATAACCATGGAGAAGATTTCCAGGTTGCAAATTGATGGAATCCCCAATACAAATGTGCTTCAACAATCACTTGCAGATGTCACAAGTTAGTTAACTTGGCTAAGATAATACGCACGAGTGTATTTGTCAAGTCGAAGTCAAAAGGATATACCCGAAAATAATTAACCACCCTATCGCATGTATAATCTTTTGGTGAAGTCAAAAGGGTTCATTTTTATCCAAAATAATAGGTACACGGATAAGATATACCCAAAAAGAAAACCGCCCTATCATACATATAATCTTTTGGCACCATGTATGATATAACACATTCAAGGTTTAATAAACCCTTACCTTTAAATGTTCATGAGCTTCTTTGACAGTTCTTCCATCCTTCTTCTTCTTCCAGTTATGGCCATCGTTCCGAAAATTCCGCAGCTTCTTACGGTCAAACAATTCAATTGTGCCACCTATTTCATTGCAATAAAATAAGGTGAGCTATAAATTAGAACCATGACTTAAATCTTCTATAACCCACTTGATCCCAAATATTTGCATATTGCAAGAATGGGACCCTTCAAATAAAATTAATTTTAATCAATCAGAAAAGGAATGGAAAAACGTTAACGTACGAATGTATTACTTTTTGGCAAATTCAAAGGCTTGACATTGATGCTGAAATACTTGTAATTACAGAGTATGGCATGAATCTCATTTGGTCTGAGCCATCTGGTCTTGCCTTCCTCCATTATGTCACCGATGTCCAAATCTATCCAAGCAACAAGGACAGGTATTAAAACTCCACAAAATATCAAAATGAACACGAACATGGAACACCTTATCATTAAAAAGCAGAATAGTTACACAAATAGGCACATAATCAAGTAAGAGTCAATCAATTTATAGGGACATTATACCTAGGTAAATGCCGGTCAACGTGTTTCAAGAATAGATTATAATATTGATTTCAAAACCATTCATTGCAGTGTCAAAGGCAATCTAATTAGTGAATTGCAACTCACTTCATTGCACTGTTGACTGTACATTTCACACTACATACATCATCTCAATACAATTTGAATTCGCTTGAACTGTTCACTGGTCTGAGCGTGCAAGTGCACGTATATTTTGGCATTTTGAAATAGTTGGTTTATCAAGCATAAAACTTTTCTTGCATTAATAATTCGCGTGTACCGCTTAGTTATCCTGCACTTTGTTAGTGATCAAAATTGTTGGACCACATCATCTATTAGCTCAAACTGCTATTGTAACGACCCAGCCTCTATGCTCAAGCCATTATACCATACATATTGTCCGCTTTGAATGAGCATCTGCAGTTGGTACCATAATTCAACTTAAATCTCTTATTAGGCTGAGGTTTTTGGTTCGAATTCTAGGTAACGCGATAGAAAATCATGAGAGGTAAATGGACAAATACCCATCCAAAGCGAACAACGCCAACTTAAGTTTCTCATTAGGTAGAAATCTTGCTATCAAATCTTCAAGGAGACGATACAAAGATGTGAGGGAGTAAGTGGGTAGATGTCCATCCAAAGAAGACAATACATATGATATAACGGCTTGTGCACGAGGCCTAGTTCATTACAACAAGCTTTGGTTGGACATCCACCTACTTATCCTCTCACGGCTTTCTATCGTGTCCCCAGGATTCGAACTCAAGACATTTGCCTAATAAGAGACTTAAAGTTGAATTCTAGTAACAAAACAGCTTAGGCATATATACTGGGTCACTGGGGTCCCAACTTTTTTATTTAAATTATGCCTTCAACACATCCCTTCACTTGTAAGCCAAATCATATTTTCAAAAAAAGTTTAACACCTGAACAATTTTCATAAATGGTGGCGGCAATGCTTGAACTTAGTGAAATTAGAACTGACTACTGAGCCACTGTGAGACGAGTCAAAGTTATTTATTTAAATTACACCTTCAACAAACACAGTCTAAGTAAGAAAGAAGAATAAACAGAACAATGAATAATATACTTTCTTCCTATATCAAATCTCTTAGTTCTATAATTATTGCGAGATGTTAAAGAGTAAAACCCTAAGACCCATTAGAAGTTGACCTACCCACAGAATATACCAAACCTTTCAAACTCGCAAATTATATAAGTATACAAAGAAAGACGCAGGTATTCGAGATAGATTCACATATTTCTGTGTTGTACCTGCCATGGTGAGGAACCCATGAATCTCGGACCCAGCAAGTGGACCCGGTACACCACTCTGCATTTCAAGCCACGCTCCAAATTCTCCAACAACACTGTAGTTTCAATTAAATCAAGCAAGTAAATCGATCGTTCTACGCTTCAAGTACTACTCCAATAAAGCTAATTTCGTCAATAAAACGGATTATCAATTTCAAGTTGTGAAATGAAACAGAAGAAATTAAATTGTGATTGCTTGAGAAGAACAGACCAAATCTCATACGATGTTGATTGATTTGAGTGAAATGAAAATGAAAGAGAGGCGAATTGAGAAGAAACGCTTGTTTTTTTTTTTTTTAACAAGGTGTCCGGCTTGCGTCCGACTAAATCTTTGTGCCTGAACCTCCGGCCCCTCAGCAACTCAGAGAGATAAATCGTAGGATGTGCCCTTGTTGGTTCCCAGGTTCCCACAACTTATTTGGACTCCTTCCGCAAAGAGAGCTCTCCTCACTGGACGTTTGTTCACACCAATGGCTTCCTCTCCATATGGCTCCCAGTGTTAACTTCAAGAATCGAACTCCCCACCCTTGCTTAGAAACGCTTGTTACTTCAATGAGTCGTAGTTTGTATGGAAAATTCAGGAACGTTAATTTATGAGAAAGGATCTTCACCTTTAAAATTTTTCATTTTACACCCTCAACTTATATTTCTTACATTAATATCCTCAAAGTTTTCTTTTTAAGCATGTTTTCCACCATTTTAATATTCTTTGTACATGTCCCTAGTGGTAGCAATCGAGTTGAGTACCTCATCGACTCATCGACAAAGCTCGACACATAGACAGCTCGAGCTCGTTTTGGGACATGGCTAGACAAGCACGTGGCTCACCTTTAAATGTGCCCATTTGGTCACATTTTAAAGTTTGTTAACCCTCCAATAGTTTCTAAATTTTTTTTTTTTTGTTTTATAAATATCTCAAAACTTCACCATTTTTTCACAACAAATTCAACAATCTCTCTACTTTCTCTGCATTTTATAATAATTCCTTCATTATTCAATTCTTCTACTCTCCACAATTATATTACGTACGCATACCTTCATTCTCTACAATATACATTATCCAATTTATACATTTTCATCTTTATTCTCTAGCTACAATCTACGTTCTATATTTCTACTACACAATACAACTGGATCTTGTAATTTCATTGAGGGCTTATTCGGTGACCAATCACCTATGACATCACAATCTCAATTTCTCAATGAATTTGTCGATATCAACGAAAGTGTCCCCAACCATGACGATTTGTTGGGAATGATCGTTGATGATGTACATGAAAGTAATAGTCCACTAGATTTGGATGACCTGGATGAAGATGTCAGTGAAGCCAAATTACAAATTTCGGATACAAGAGGGAAGTGAAAAGGAATAAAATCTACAAAGTGTTGAGAATACTTTAAATTGATTTCAACCGGCCATACCACCAATAGAATCACATAGTGTAAGGCAATGTGTAAATACTATCAAACACGATTAGTATAGCAAAACAGTATTGGTACTACCCACCTTTACCGCTGCTAAGCCAAATTTACGTGTAAATATAGGCTCATTGGTCAATCTCAATCACAACTAACATTGGCATTCCTTCTTTCGATAACAATTCTTCAACACTGAGCACGTGGACATACTCGGAGTGACTCGTGATGGAATGATGAAGTTTGTTGCCGATGTTGAGTTGCCGCTAAGCATGGTGGACAACAAGCATTTCACAACATCGGTGAAGGAATATCTTCAACCAAGGTACAAAGGGGTACGTAGAAAACACTTTTCGTAGTGATATAATTGATTATTTTCTTATAATTAAGAAATCAATTGATTAACAATTTAATGAAATATGAAAGTGTTATGTCGTTGATTTTAGATTTATGAGAAGATATAAATAAAAATGTTATATATCATCAACTGCACATTATGTAGAACCACTTTGATTTATACATAAAAAATCATTACCTTTAAAATAATTAAATATCCTCATTATACTAATAATATTTTTAATTCTATCCTTCAAATTATTAGGATATATAAATTTGAATGTAAAATTCGTTCTTCTATATATGACAATCTTAGTGTTAATAAGTCTATTATAAATAAACTTTGTATAATACTTGATTATACTAATAATATTTTTAATTCTATCCTTCAAATTATTAGGACATATAAATTTGAATGTAAAATTCGTTCTTCTATATATGACAATCTTAGTGTTAATAAGTCTATTATAAATAAACTTTGTATAATACTTGATTCTGATTTTGGTCATTTTTGTTTCAATGGTTGATGTGTTTATCATATTTTTAATAAATTGTGAAAAATGGTGTGAGACATATTAAAAATCAAATTGATAGAATTATGGATGCACTGATTTATATAACCGCATCACTAAATAGGAAACAAGCATTTGAAAAAAAAAATTATTCATAAATTGGCCCCAAGTTTCAAAAAATATATATATATATAACTGGCATAGAGCATAGATGGAACCAAGAACCCCACTCACTTATTATTGAAATCATGTAACGGTTATAAACGTTTAATCACTGAATTTTATAACTCTATTCGTGTAAGAAATGTCGATGATTATGCTTTGATTGATTCTGATCGGGGAACCAGTCTTTTAAGTCAAAAAAAATTTGACAAACTTTTATGATTCCACGAATATTTTATATGGGTATACAACCCCACCAGTTTAAGAATTCTTGAACATCTTTACATCATTGAAAAATAATTTTAAAATACAAGAATGATCCCGATTTTCGTGAAAATATTGTTTTCTATAGAATTAAAGTTCATAAAATATTGGAAAAACTTGCCAATGTTATTTCCTTTGACAAGTGTAATGGATTCCATGTACAATTTAAGAGGCACTAAATATATTATTGATAAAATAACAATTCGTTTAAATTTGTACGGACCTATTACTCATTCGAATTTTGAAAACATGTTAGCTGCAATGCACAAAGCGTACGCACGGAGCTTAGGTGCAAATATTAGACAAACACTCATCGCACCCACTCCCTCTGCTACTTTTCAAGATGGAGCAGAAACTTAGTCCTTATTTTAAGGCACTAGGAATGAAAGATATGAAGCAGGAGTTTAATCTAGTATGTCTCTTGGATGTAATATGACTTTGGACGCAGATCTTGTGGGAATGCTTGCTGAATTAGTTAAATATTTCAATCATCAAACACTTAAGAGCGTAGAACCTGTTGATGCTATACAATTTGATATACTTGATTTTTGGTGGAAGAAAGAACGAAAATAACTGATCATTGCTGTTATTGTAAAAGATCTACTAACACCTCCAAGTAACATTGTAGCTTTGGAGGCCGCTTTTAGTGCAGGTAAGATGACTCTATTCGAGGTAAAGAGTCGACCCAAAGAGGACATTCTTAAAACATTGATGTGCATAAATGATTAGCAAGGCACATCCTCGAATACAACATATGTATAAGGAAATTGCGTGTAATCATATAAAATGATATTTAGCCCATGTTTGAGCTACATTCTAGGAAAAATGTATTATTCATATCAAATCAATGAAAAATGTGTGGTTAAAAAATAAGGAAAAGTTTTAGATTTGCGTGTAATATTATTTTATTGAAAAATTGTGTGATTGAAATGATATCAAATCACTGTTGAAAAATATATTTTTTTGAAAATAATGTGGCTCAAACAAGAGTTTAATTTCATCAGCTAATCAAACTTTGATATTTTCTTAATAATATTTTGATTAATAAAAAAATGTATACACAACAATGTGTTTATGTATAATTTTAACTCTCTCTACTCGAAAATTAAGTAGTCAAGTCCAAGCTCGAATAATGGGGGGTGGGTTTCAAAAACATATTTTTAAAAAAATTAAGTCTAGTTTCAAAATTTCAAATCTCAATTGTTGAGTCAAGAGTTTTTGTTCGGAGGCTTCACTTAAAAAAAATGTAGATTTAATTAGTTGTCATGTATAATTTTAACTTTGCTTATACAAAAATAAGTAGTCGATCCCAAGCCCCGAAAAAAGGAGGGTCTTCAAAATATAATTAAAAAAAAAAACATATCTAGAGCCTGTTTGAGCCTCATTTTTAAAAAGGATGATTAGCACAAAGCGTCCTTTCATTTTAATGTTACTGTGCAAAACGTGTTCACATTTAATTTTTTGAAATTTTCATCCCTATTTTTCACATTTCATTGAGGAAAATGCTATTTTCATCCAATTTTTCAATAAAAAATTGAAATGACAAGTATACCCTTCTATTTAAATAAAGCAAAAAAGAAAAAGAAGAACAATTATACTCCCAAATTTATAAAAAAAAAATGTAAATGAGTCCAAATAAAGTATCAAAAGGATAATTAGCAAAAAACATCAATACATTTCAATATTATTGTACAAAACGTCATTATCTTTCATTTTTTGGCATTTTCATCCGTATTTTCACATTAAATTTGCGAAAATAATCATTTTCATCAATTTTCTCAATTAAAAGCTATAAAATGACGAATATACTATCGTATTTAAATTAAAAATAAAGAAAATAAAAATAAATAACAAATTGCAACTACACTCTCAAACTTTTCAAAAAGCGTTTTTTATTATTTTTTTAAATTTATTTGTACTTTTTTTTTTAAATTTTGGGTGTATAATTGCAACTTGCTCTTTTGTTTTATTTAAATAGGAAGGTGTATTCGTTATTTTACAGTTTTTAATTGAAAAAATAGATGAAAGTCATGATTTTTTCAATGAAATGTGAAAATACTAAAAAATGAAAGGTATAGACGTTTTACACAATAATATTGAAAGGTAAGGACATTTTCTACCAATTACAGTTTTAATAATTTATTTGAACTCATTTGCAGTTATTAAAAAAGTTTAGGAGTATAACTATAATTTGTTCTTTAAATTTAATTTTTGCTTTATTTAAATATGATTGTATATTTGTTATTTTACATTTTTTTAATTGTGAAATTTGATGTAAATGACGTTCTTCGTAACCAAATGTTAAAATATGGGTGAAAATACTTAAAAATAAAATGTATGGACGTTTTGCATAATAATATTGAAAGATAAGGACATTTTGTGTTAGAAAATAGTGCATTTTGTAATAGCATTTTGATAGAGAATGTGCAGTTAAAAATAAGAAAAAAATTTAAATTTACGTGTAATGTTATTTTATTGAAGAATGCATAGTTGAAAAAAGAGATAGAAAGATATATTTTGGAAAAAATGGAATCAAACAAGGGCCTAACTTCAAATCTCAATTCAATTTATTATTTCTACA